AAATAATTATATATCAAAAATATATATATATATATATTGTACGTTCAGCCCATAATAAATTGTAAAATTAAGAATTAGAAATTTAAATGAATGAAAATTGAAGGACAGCTGCTCTCTCGAGAGTCAGGCGTGGTAACATGATCTCGAACGCACTATTTATGTCTCGACACTGTGTCAAATAAAGAATCGCTATGACGCCTCGCTGTAGACGTACGTTCGTCGGTCATTTTTGGTAAAGAAACTTAATTCTTATTATCAAGGAAAGACCTCAATGAAAAAAAGAGATCGATTATTTTTCAAAAATAAAAATAAAAATGAAACATTGATTTTAATTGATAAAATAAAGATATACATAATAAAGAGCGGAAGAAACAAGAGAAGAAACATTCGTGTAAGTGTGTAAGTGTATATATGATATCGCGGAGGCCATCGGATAGGATTCTTACGAGAGAGAGTATGAATGTATGAGTGAATGAATCTTTGGTATGATCCTACCCGGTAATACAATTAATATTCTCTAGTTAACTTAAACTAATGATTACATAATAAGCAAATGAAAGAAAAATTTCCAAATATATATAATAATAAAAATCATGTATAATATGTGTATAACAAAAGATTACTATATGAGGATTAAGGAAGGGAATATTCTTGACGTTCTTCGGGAAGTGGAGTAATTAGGTCTATAGGATGGGAGTCTTCGTCTTCTAAATCCTCAAAAAGAGGTTCGCCATCTCGAAATAGGGGACCTGAGAATGAGGGCGTAGAAGTCTATGAAGTATTCTGCATCGGATGGATGCACTGGAGAATAACTAGGTGCGATTGATTGATATTGATGTTGTATAGGGGCGGAAGGAGGAACAGAGTTAAATGAAGATGCTGAAGATTGGTTTAGGGAAAATTCAGGAGTAGTAATAGTCAATGTTGATGATTTGATCTGTTCTTTCGATATCTGTTTGAACTTCTTGATTCAGCCTTGACTTTTTTGTCGATTCCAACTGCCAGAACGACGACGATGAGATTGTTTTTTAGTGTCGGGTTGTCGAACTTTAAAAATTGGAACTTCCGTTTGATTCACTAGGAGAAAAAGGATTGATCAATGAAGAGAAGTGTGAATGCGTATGAGAGAAGAAAAAAAGGAGAACAACGGGAGCCTCGCATAGCTCAGACCAGTTCAATGAGAGAGAGAAAGAGAGAGAGAGAGA